GTAGGGAACCTGCTTTGTCAGGGGGGTTGGACTGGATGATCTCCTGAGGTCCCTTCCAACCCCACCAGTCTGTGATTCTGTGATCTTCATTAGGTCAGCCAGTGTTGTGGGAACAACAGATCAGTTTTCATGCACAAGAGCCCTTCCAGGAGTTTGGAAAAGGCTCTGTACTCCTGCTTCGTGCACCTGCATGAGTCTGGCTGAGGTTCCCTGGAGGGGGCCGACCTCTGTGATCCCGCCTGTGGGCTGTGAAGAGATAGCTGCTTGTACCTTTTCCAGTGGTTTAAAGACAAGATTTCCTGTGATGTTTTCTCTCCAGCCATGTGGGTCCATGTCTCTGCCCTAATTCTCCCTCAAGCCTCATTCTTAGCTTCTTTTTTTTTTCCCCTTCAGCTCATGGTGGTCCCACGTGGAGATGGGTCCCCCTGACCCCATCCTGGGGGTGACAGAAGCTTTCAAACGTGACACCAACTCCAAGAAGATGAACCTGGGCGTAGGGGCGTACCGGGATGACAACGGGAAGCCGTACGTCCTGAACTGCGTTCGCAAGGTGAGCCTGGTGCTGGCTGCTGGGCAGGGATGGATCCAGGCGCCCCGGGGGGGTCAGGAGGGGGAAGACCTGTAGGCAAGGTTTGCCTGTTGGTCCTTAGAATAAGCTTTGTCTCTGCCAGAGCAGGACAGTGTACCTGGATGTCTTCCTTTGCAGTATTAATGCTTTTGAGACAAAGAGAACCAGTTGTTATGGAGTAGGGGTAAAACAGGGAATATGTGTCCTATTCCCATCTAGGTAAATCTAATTTGTTGCGGACTTCCACAGGCCCTCCCCAGCCCAGCTGTCCTCTGAATTCGAAGGTGTTTCTTGAATAGGCTGATGTTCCCCAGGCCAGCTCACATGGGAGGAAAGAGCTGACATTGTCTCCTTAATGGATTAGTCTTAGAAATTCTGCTGAGCCATTGTTAGCGGTTTCTCCGTAAGCCAGTCTAAAACTCCAGCCCAGGGAGCTGGATGTGGCCGCTGCCCTTGAGGGGATTACAGAGCCTTTCCAGGCTGGAAGTGTGGAAATAGGCCGTTAAATGAGCTGACACACAGATTGACTGTCTGCTCTCCTTGGCGTAGGGTGTGTGGTCCATGTTTCTCATCAGTGTGGGGTTTAAAACCATCCCTCGCTCTCCCTCTGTCAGCACGTATTGCAGCTGAGTCACAACTGGGGAGCCTGGGTGGTGGGACAGGAACAGTTTCCTGGTGGGATGTGAATGCTGCCAGGGTCTGTCCTGCTGCCCTGGCAGCACTGACAGGGTTCCCAGAGTGCCCCAGGTGCCTCCATCACTGCACTTTTCAATCATGGCTCCTTGCTGCCGGTCTTGCTTCCATTCCCTGATCCTGTGTTAGGAAAGGACTTGGCCTGGTTTCTGGTGCTGGGTCTGTTTGGAAGAAGTAGAGATTCTGGGGGGTGCCATGTTTAAGGCTTGGGTGATCTGGCTTCCAGACAGGCTGCTTTCAAAATTGGCTGGGGTTTCGGGATTATTTTTTTTTTAATTTGTTCCATCTGGTCCAATAACACTCCCAGCTTGACAAAGCCCTACAAAAGGCTTGTTACCCTACCTGGTTATGGAATGTCTCCCTGTGTAGGAACAATGTCTGGGCCACGAGGATGATGCAAGGGCTGGAGCAGCTCTGCTGTGAGGACAGGCTGAGAGAGTTGGGGCTGTAAAGCCTGGAGAAGAGAAGGCTCCGGGGAGACCTTCTAGCGGCCTCCCAGTACCTGAAGGGGCTCCAGGAAGGCTAGGGAGGGACTTTGGCCAAGGGCAGGGAGTGACAGAACAAGGGGTGATGGCTTGAAACTGGCAGAGGGGAGATGGAGCTGAGATGTGAGGAAGAAATTCTTTGGTGTGAGGGTGGTGAGACCCTGGCCCAGGTTGGCCAGAGAAGCTGTGGCTGCTCCTCCCTGGAAGTGTTGAAGGCCAGGTTGGATGAGGCTTTGAGCAACCTGGTCTAGTGGAAGGTGTCCCTGCTGCTGGCAGGGGGGTTGGAAGTGGATGAGCTTTAAGGTCCCTCCCAACCCAAACCAGTCTGGGATTCTGTGATTCTAATGTCTGCCTTTCAGTAACAGTCAGTTCTCGCCTTCCTGCAGGACAGTTCCTGCTTGGGCAAAGAAATTTGTGTCCTCGTGCAGCAGTGTTGACTTTTAACGGGCTGGAGTGGTGCTCTCCCTTGGCACCAGGGTTCCTGGCTCTGCTGGCACCCACTGAGGGCTCTGGTAGCCACTGAGCACCTTGCCCTGTGGTAAAAGCAGAGTGTCACCTGAAATATTTACTGCTGCCTTGGCTTTGAGTGAGGCCCTGACGGGAAGCTCCTGTAAGCCAGCCTTTGCCCCTCTTGAGCGAGCAAATGTGAAGAGAAGCAACCTTGAGCTGTCCACCGTCCTCTCCACCGTGATGGCTTCCTTGCTGAATGTGTGTCTTCCTTCCCAGGCGGAGGCCATGATTGCATCCAAGAAGATGGACAAGGAGTACTTGCCCATTGCAGGGCTAGCGGATTTCACCCGGGCGTCCGCAGAACTGGCTCTGGGTGAAAACAGTGAGGCTTTCAAGAGTGGCCGGGTAAGGAGCGGGCTGGGAAGCAAGGGGAGGGCAGTGCTGTGGGTGCCCAGGAAAAATGGAAGGACTGCAGGGATACTTATGCCTCTGAGTTGCAAACTGGCCAGATCCAAGGATAACTGCTTCCTCTGAAGCCTGGGGTGAAACAGCCCTTCCTGACAAGGGGAAATAACCTTGCCAGGGGTCTCAACTCCCTTCCCCACAACCCATGCAGTCCCCTCCAGCCCCACGTCCCTGGGGTGTGCTGCTGCTAACGCTGAGGTAGTGACAGGGCTGGTCCCTGTGTCGTACTGGGGCTGCTCAGACTCACCTGGTTTTGGTTTTTTTCCCTTGCAGTATGTCACTGTGCAGGGTATCTCTGGGACTGGATCTCTACGAATTGGAGCCAACTTTTTGGTGAGTCCATGGCTGGTGAGGGAAGGAAAGCACATTTTTTTTGACCGGAGCTGAATCCTTGGGGTTTTCTAACTACTTGAATCTGTACAAGCTGTTTGAACACTCTGTCTTTCTCTTCATCAGCAACGGTTCTTCAAGTCTAGCCGTGATGTGTATCTACCCAAACCATCCTGGGGCAATCACACACCCATTTTCCGCGATGCTGGCCTACAGCTTCAGGCTTACCGCTACTACGACCCCAAGACGTGCAGCCTTGACTTCTCTGGAGCCATGGATGACATTTCCGTGAGTTGCCTTTCATACTTGGAAGCAGGGAGGTGATGTGGGGAGATGGGTGATCATCTTGCTTTAGCCTAAAGTTGATGCCTGAAGGCACCAAATCAAGGCCAGAAGCCTTGCAGAGCTTGTCTAAGATGTCTAGGGCAAGAGTCCCATCTCAGCTGCTGAGGAGAGGGCTTGGATGTCATTAATAATTCATTCTCTGTAACATCTTCCTTAGAAAATTCCAGAGAAGAGCATCATCCTCTTGCATGCTTGTGCTCACAACCCCACTGGGGTGGATCCCCGGCAGGAGCAATGGAAGGAGTTGGCAGCTACAGTGAAGGTGAGCATTGGAGTGTCCCAGGGCCACTGTGCTGTTCCTGGGATAGCCACATCTCTGGGCTTTCATGGGTGGCATCCGATCTTCACTGCACTAAAGGTTACTCCCTTTCTTGAAGCCAGGATGAGTGTCATGTTCCTTTTTTGAAGACAGGAGCCAGACAAATGTACCCATAAAGCTTCTAGCTGACCATCAGACTTCCTGCTGGTGCCTTCTTAGGAAGCTGGGGTAGGGACACCTGAATGGAGAGCAGCAGGGTTGAAAGAGTGAGTTGTGATAGCTGGAGAGGGCCTCACAGTGCTGATGTATTAAAAATGCTGGAAGATCTTTGTGGTAGTTTCACTTGGCTAGCACCAGGACAATCTTTCACATGCCTGGTGTCTTCTCACAAGCTTCAGCTGGAAACAGCTTCATCCTTCTCCTCTTCCTCCCTGCTGCTCCCTCAAGCTGTAGCCACTGAAATTTGGCTTGAAGATGCTTGACCAGTAGTGTCCTGAAAATTGGTAGATATCAGAGTGGCCTCTGTGGCCACCTAGAGGTGGCTGGAGGCCTCCTGACCGAGGGGCAGTGCGGTTGGTTACCTGCATGGAGGCACTGGAAGGGCTGGCACCTGCCCTGAGGATTCCCAGGTGGTTTTCATGGAAACTGCTAATACAGGAAACACTGAAATGGAATAATTTATTACTCCTGAATCCACTTCTGCCTCCTGGACCAGACTGCACATCCCATAAATGCACTGGGAGGGTCTTTACCTGCTGTTTTCATATGTGGTGGGTAGCTGTGGGTTTTGGGCTCCTTCCCCTGTGGCAGACAAAGGGGATTGATTCTACTTCTGGAGAAGAGCAGTTGGCAGTTGAGCAGCTCGCTGCCTGCATGGCTCTTGTCAGCCTGCTGCCCTGCTCCCTGGTGGGGTGTGCAGCTCCTGTGACACTCTCTCTCCCCCCTCTACTGGCAGAAACGAAACCTTCTCGTGTACTTTGACATGGCATACCAGGGCTTTGCCAGCGGTGACATCAACCGGGATGCCTGGGCTGTGCGGTATTTCATTGAGCAGGGCATCAACGTCCTCTTGTCACAGTCCTACGCCAAGAACATGGGGCTGTACGGTGAGTAGGGCTGGTGGTGTGGAGATGGTTTCATCCAGGCTGCTGGAGGGACCGTGCTGTAAACTGGGCTTAGCAGCCAGTGTTTTTCTGCTGCCTGGGTTCATCCTGCAGCACTGAGAGAACCTTCTGGGAGCTGGTGGAGAACCTTCTAGAGAAGAGGGCTCTACTAAAGCTACATGGTGTTTGGGGAAGTCCTGCCCCAGCCTTGGGTATCCAAGGGCAGAGGATGGGACCTAATGACCCAGCCTCTCTTTCAGGAGAGCGTGCGGGTGCCTTCACGGTCATCTGCAGTGACGCAGAGGAAGCCAAGAGGGTGGAATCACAGCTGAAGATCCTCATCCGCCCCATGTACTCCAACCCGCCCCTGAACGGAGCGCGCATCGCCTCCATCATCCTCAACACCCCAGACCTACGGAAGGAGTGGTAAGAGGGAAGCCCTAATGCTCACGACAGTGAGATGGGAGCTCTTTTTGTGGCAGCCCTGTGCTGTGCTTACTGCCTGCTGCTGGTGTGGGCAGCTCTTCGCTGCAGGGGTATGTTCAGAACCACCCCTTCTCCTGGGAGAAATCCCTGCTCAGGTCCTGGCATCTCCTGGTATGGGTCCAGCCTGACACAGACAGGTTTCCCTTGTGTTACCAACACTGAACCAAGGGAAAAAGCTCCCCTAGGATTGAGGGCTGCAGGAGCTGCCTGTCTGAGGAGTGGAGAAGCCTGACTGAGGTGTTGTAGCCACGTAGTATGTCTCACGTGACGGAAGTGGAAGCGTAAGCTCCCTGGGAATAAGACCCAGGAATGTAACCCTCATGCCCTAAGCCTGTTTCCTGGTGTCAGCCGGTGCTGCTCTCCCAGCCCCTTGGTGTTGAGTCCCTGCCGGCAGCTGGCCGGGCAGAACAAAGGCTGGCAGTGTGCTGTGGCCTGGCTGGGACCTCTGTCCCTTTGGCAGGCTGACACTTGTGCCTGATCCAGGGCCCAGCAGAGATGTCTCTGAGCTGTGCTGCCTTGGAGCTGGAATGTACCAGCTGGAATGTACCCCTGCACTCTCCTTTTATCTGCAGATATTATTTTATCTGGGTTTGGGCAGTGCTGCCATGAGGCCTCCTACTCTGCCATGGCTTTCAGAAGTGAGAGATGCCGATACTCTGGTAGTAACGTCCAACAGCTATGGAATAAATAAAGAGCAGTCGCCTTCAGGTAGCAGGAGAAAGAAGCAGGTCCCTAGCTAGAGCTACAGGTTTACACTCTCTGGTCTTTGCTCATCTGCATCCCTGTGTTTTTGGGGTATGAGGCCCTTCCAGGTGGAGAGGGTTGATTCCCAGTAGCTGGGGGGGAAGCAGCGTTGGTGCATCCCAGCCCTGCTCTGAGTGGTTCCTGGGTTGGCTTCTCAGGCTGGTGGAGGTGAAGGGTATGGCTGACCGGATCATCAGCATGCGGACTCAGCTGGTGTCCAACCTCAAGAAAGAGGGATCCTCCCACAACTGGCAGCACATCACCGACCAGATCGGCATGTTCTGCTTCACGGGGCTGAAGCCTGAGCAGGTAAACACGGTTCCTGTGGTCTTAAGGTGTTGTTTGTGGTCCTTGTCAACAAGATCTTGACTGCAGGCGCCACAGTGGGCCCTCATGGGAAGTTCTTCCTCCAGGAGGATCATCCTCCGAGCCTGCAGCACTGGAGCATTGTGGGGACCCATGTCTTGCTCTGCTCTCTGCTGTGCTTGTGGAGGTGGAAAGCAGTTGTAGCCTGCTTATCTGTCAAAGGAAGCAGTCACTTGTTGCTGCTCTGAGGTGACTTTAAAGGTCATTGCAAGTGAGGTGACTCTCCTGGCTGAACATCTGCAGTGTTTGTGTGTTGCCCGAGAGCCGAGCAGCATCTCTCTTGGTTTACAAGGTGCACCGCTGGCTTCGCAGGTAGCAGGATGCCATGTCTGCTGCCTCCCAGTTTGCTTTCAGTTCTGGCAAGCTGGGTAAATTTGTGCTCTGCTAAGAGAGCAGAGGTTGACCTGTGGTTTGAACTCTGCTCTTTCACCCCAGGTGGAGCGGCTGATCAAGGAGTTCTCCATCTATATGACAAAGGACGGACGAATCTCTGTGGCGGGAGTTACATCAGGCAATGTAGGTTACCTGGCTCATGCCATCCATCAAGTCACAAAGTAAAGACAAAGGTGTGCTGTGGAGCTGGTGGCCTTCCCTTCCCCACCGAAGGTCGAAGATGGGGAGGGAAAGGAAACAAGAATACTCCAACCACAGCACTTGACACCGCTGCTGAATGTATCTTGTAGATAAGTTGTTGTAGAAGCCCTAGTGAAAACTGCCCTGCATTGTGGAGCAGGGACATCATTGCTGGCTCCCGCTCGTCACAGCCGTTCTCCCCTGCTGTCCATCCTTTGTCCGGCAGCCCCAGCTCCCATCTGCGCTGGAGGAAGCTTAGCACTGCCATCCTACCAGTGTAGGCACCAAAGGCTTCCCCACACTTGTTTCTCCATGAGAAGGCTTTGTCAGGCTGTTGGAAGCAGCAGTGGGTGGGGAGCTGAGTGGGAGGGCTGCTCAGGTGCACCCCTGCCACCCCAGGTGCCAGCAGGCACTGTCCACCTTCACCCTCCCAGCCCGGGGCTGGGCAGCACCAAAGCTGCCCTGTGACAACCAGCTCTGAGGACTTGTCACTGCTAAAATCTGCTCCATCGTCAGCTTCGCTCTTCCCATCTGGGAATCTCCTTCCAGGGTAATGCACAGAGGCATTGGCGCGTGGGGCAGACCCGTGTCCCTCCTCTAAACCTGCCTGGTTCTCCTGACTTCACTCCTGTGCCCTGAGGTGAAACAATTTCCCCCCTAATAACCTCCTCTGAAAACTGTTTTCTGTTGGTCTCTTCCTCTCCCTGTTCCTGTACCAACCCAGCAGCCCTCCCTGGAAAGCAGAGTCTGTGTGTGTCCCAAAGCCCTGAGCCGAGAGGCGGACCCTACTGTGTCCACCCTCATGTGGGGGTGTGGGGTGTCCCTCTCATCTGCTCTGTTCAGCCAAATTTCTGGTGACACTAGAAAACGGGAGGGAAAGCTCCTGAGGGAATGGAGATCCTGATGACTCCAGAAATGGTCTGTCTTTTTAAACTGAGCATCCCTGAGGCCCCTGTGACTCACCGGACTCTGATTTTTAATCCAAATAAACTGGCACGTGGCTGTGTTGAGCTGGTGGCTTCCTCCTGTCCCTTCCATGCACCAAATATTCCCGGGGGATCGGGGGTGGCCAGTGAAACCATCATCTCCTGAGGATCCCATGAAGAGAGAGAGCAGTTCCCACCCGTGTGTCCCAAGAGCACCCGAGGGGTGTGGGCTGAAGCTGCCCCAGGTGGGAGCTGGTGTCACAGAGCCAAAATGGGGTTGAATGTGGGTGTTGCTGGGGAGAGGGCGAGTTCCCAAAGGCTCCCCTGTGCCTGGCCACTGGAGCACTCTGGGTTTTCTTGCATTGAGCAAAGCTGCAGATCTGGGAGGGTCACTTATGAAGGCAACGGAGCTGGGGAAGGGTCTGGAGCACAAGTGTGCTGAGTTCCTGGCTGAGGGAACTGGGGTTGTTGAGCCTGGAGAAAAGAAGGCTGAGGGGAGACCTTCTGGCTCTGTCCAAGTCCCTGAAAGGAGGGTGGAGAGAGGTGGGGGGGTGGGTCTGTTCAACCAAGGACCAAGTGACAGGACAAGAGGAAATGGCCTCGAGTTGTGCCCGGGGCAGTTGAGATGGGATGTGAGGAAGAATTTCTTTGCTGAAAGGGTTCTGAGGCATTGGAAGGGGTTGCCCAGGGCAGTGGTGGAATCCCCATCCCTAGAGGGATTTAAAAGCCCTGTAGCTGTGGTGCTTAGGGACATGGTTTAGTGGACATGGTGGTGTTGGGTTGACATTTGGACTTGGATGATCTTGAGATCTTTTCCAAGCTTAATGATTCCATGAGTCTGTGAGCTTTCCCCATCCATCAGCACCTTTCCCTGCTGCAGCCGTACC